CACTCAAAACGCTCAACTTTAAAAAGTATATAGTTTCCATGGCACAGAGTGATATCATTACCCGTGGGGCAATTACTGTTTCGCGGTGGATACCCGCTGTAACGGGATTATGACATCATTCGTCGGCCAGCAATAGACTCAAATGAGATAGTGTTATGTAATGAGAGATTTGTGCCTTTTGTTTGTCGTTTTCATTACAAATGCTTATTAATTGTTATTGTCAATAATTCGACGATGATCTTTAGACCTCTCAGACTCATTTCACTTTTGCTTGATTTTTGTCGAGTTGAGAGTCCTATCTAGTTAGGACTTTTGTTATCCGAAGCTGTACCGGAAATGAAAGGATCAGATTCTATTCTGTGCCAACATACTCGTTTGATACAAATAAGTGACCGATTTTTTACTTCTCAAGACTTTTGTCATCCTCGATCGACTTTCATCTTTCCAGTGGACAAGAACGTTGAATAAGAAATCGATTAGGCCAGATACCTCAGAGGAGAGGAGAAGTGGAGGCTCAAAATTGGTGGGATAATAGTGAATAGTTTGAATTATTCAATATTTTGACCGGTTAAATTACAAGTAGATCATGCTGAGTATTATTAGTATGAATGTTACTGAGTTTATCTTGGTTGCCTTCAAGCGGGGAACGGCGTAGTTTGAAATGCAGATAAATTCTAAATCGAAGAAACATATCTATTGCTCGGCATGTGATTCTTTTTGATAATAGATAAAGGCATCTCTCACGAGAGGAGACAAAGCGAGTGTCTTGATAGATGAGCGCTTCTTTAATTGCGTGAGATAAAAAACAAAGAGTAAAGATAATGTTGAATAAGATAAAGTATAATCGCTGCTTTTTGTTGCAAGTAAGAGAATGCAGATGTTTTTTTCTTTTTCTTCGTCTATCAGTGCACCAAGCGAGCGATAAACTTGTTTCTTTTCTCCCCTGTTGCAGGCAACGCATAAACATATACTATCATCAAACAAACACTAGATTTTTGATTCTACCGTTAACATTGTGACTGTTGATTTTATTCGACATGCCTTCCGAAGAAGTTACTATTCCAAACAACTCTGCTACTTCTTTTGATGATAGTTTACACAATAATGCAAATGAAGCTATAGCACATGATAAAGATAGGAAAGCAATCACAAAATCACGAGCTACAGAGGAAGATCTTCAAAATGTATTCAATCCAAAGACCTATGTACCTGGCTCCTATAGATATTCTCGCCAATACCTACGTGAACGTTTAAGTCGTTCTATCCTGCATGAATTTAGCATTGATGAACAGAAAGCAAGAATCGAAGTGGCTGCCGCTTATCGACTAGCTGCAAAAAATGGATGGTTGGAATCCATCTACAATCATATTACTTGTAATGTGGCTGGTCCAAATGGTGAACGTCACTTATTGATCAACCCTTTTGGCCTGAACTACTGTGAAATTACTGCGTCATCACTGGTTAAAATTGATTATGATGGAAATACGATTCATCCAGGCGTAGTGGGTGACATCATGGGAGTGAACAAAGCTGGCCTCGTAATCCATTCTTGCATTCATCGAGCTCGTCCGGACATTCATTGCGTGAACCATAATCATAATTGGGCTGTAGCCGGGCTCTCAGCAACAAAAAGTGGAATGATCGAATTGGCACAGACTGCACATATAACTGGAGAGATTGCCTATCATGACTATGAGGGCATTGCTATATCGAACGATGAGCAAGAACGGCTTGTGCGTGATTTGGGAGACAAGGACGTAATGATTTTGCGTAACCATGGTTTGCTCACTTGTGGACCATCTGTTGGTGCTGCGTACTACCATGCGTATACGCTATGCGCCGCTGCAGAAATGCAATCGCATACATGCTCTATGGCCTTTAACAAGGATGATTTAATCATACCGGAAGATCGACTCATCAAGCTAAGCATGAATATAGCTAAGAATTTCAATCAAGATTCATTTGGTACTTTAGAATTTGCTGCTGCCATGCGTGACCTTGACTACGATCAAGATCATTCTGCTTATCCGGACTACCGAAATTGAATAATCATGTAATTTCTTTTTTTGTTGGATATTGATTACGTTTTCCATTCTCTCACAATAATAAAAGCCAATATCATCAGCACCACGAATGGATGCACTGATATGTAGAGTTTAATTTCAAGACACTTCTATACATGTTAGTTACCAGAATAAGGCTTTTCTTAGCATAATTGAACAAAAATCAGTTTCAGAGATCGAGTTTAACCTGAATAGAAGTTCAAGTGAAAGAGCACTGTTTGGCATTCATTTGTTTCCATATAGAGTACACATCGAAAGGGAAAAATCGAGTTCTCATCAATGAAGAGACTGTATCACTAAACAATCAAACAATTGAGTATTGTAGTGAAGTGTGTGCATCTTCACCCAAAAAAGATCTATTGGACAACTACATCTGTGACCTTTACTCAAATTCACAGATAAACCAAAATTTGGCTGGGAGTCGATGCCTGTTAAATAATATCGAGTTCTGAATGTCCACAGCTGACAGATAAATGCTTGTTCGAACTCTTTATCTATGGTCCCTGTTAGTTTCCCAAAATACTAACATACGTCTATGTCTCTCCTCTATACTAGTACTAAGATAATATGTTCAAAGTCGCCATTGCCGAAACATAAGCCCAAACCTCAGCATGCATTATATTATTTCGTCAGCGTGGTTTTCGGAAAATAATCGCAGACAGTATATTTTTCTACATGTTTTTTTCATCATTTATTAGTTCCCGGCAAGCTCTACTTACACTGAAAAGTGACTCTTTCACAAGGAAGTCTACTCGTAGTCACACGAATCCCATTCTGCTATTTTCAGAACAAATCTACATTAGGAAGATTGATAAATGACGCTATTATGCGTTTAAGAGCATTGTCCTGTGACTTCGAAGTAGTATAATATGGAAGAGCGATGCATACTGGATGTGGGATGTGGGTTTGAGTTTCGGTGTGGATCTTCTTTCACTGCATACTCACATCCACACCCTTCTATACATGGTAGATCTCATACTGTACTAACTACTGATTTCTGTTATTGGTTAGAGAAGAAATCTTTCATAATTATGTTCGAAAAGTATGAGGTCATTATGATAAGAGCCTGAGCTTTACTCTTTCTGTATTGCAATATCTAAACAATACTCATCATCTCTACAATATGTGAAGCCAAATTTTGATTACTTGTTCAATTTTAAACTGACTTATGATGGAAGTCTGTTAACTGAAAAATCTGTTTTTTGACCAAGACTACCTGCATCACCTAGACTCTAACGAGCTATGAATACTTTGAAAAGTGTTCGGACCTTGACCTTATGGGTGCAGAGATATTACTTTTTTGGTGCACTGTTTTAATCAATGACACGATCCTCTTCCAGAATATCAAGAGCACTGATTTTCGAATCTCAACTTGAAACTTTCACAATAAATTACCCTCATTAAGGCCTATCTCTTTGCAAAGTGTCCAGACAAAATTTGAACTTCAATTTTTCTGTTACCACAGCATTCATTTACAAAATAATGCAAAAATGTAATCTCTCCATATCAATCAGCTAAATGCCTGAGCTTTGTTTAGGATATTCGTAGCTCATCAAAATCTACATAATGCACATAATCCTGACTTAAAAATGATTAATCCATTGGAAGACTTCCATCGTGGGATCCAAAAAAAAGTGATTTGTCCTTTTGGTCTTCATAAATTCTCATCTGTCATTTCATATAACCTAATACGTTAATAGCATTGCTTATAAAGATCTATAATACAGGCTCATATAGAGATTCTCTTTTTGGCATATTTAAATCTTTATTCAATATTTTAAAAAAGTAGTGATAGAATTCTCTGAATTTTTATCATTTGTTTTAACTAGTATCATGTCATCTGTTTTTTGATACAGTTTTTTAGTTTCGCTTCATATTCTTCAATTACGTCACAATCTACACATAAAAATTAGAAAATTATATTTTAAATAAAATATAAACATATATCTGATGTTTTATATTGCTTATTAGCATAAATTAATGTTAAAGGAATAGCTACTGTTTTTTCGGATATGATGCATAAGTGTTCCAATGCAAATATAGATTCATGTAATTGAACTAGAAGTTTCGACAATATAACAACACAAACTTTTTTATTTATTTAAAAAAAAGAATCTCTAGTAATGATAAAGAAGTGTAGTATTCAATTTTTAAAGATGACATAGAATTCAATCATATCTAAATTCTTATAGTTTTGATGATTTAATCAGAAGAATTAAATAGTCAGATTTTAAACTTACCATCCATATGTTGTGCTATAGCTGCATAGAATTTAAGTATCCCATCATTTAAAAAATGTTTTAAAATTTTGATTTGCTGATATATATGCTGGATTATAAGAAGATTTACGAAACTAATAAAAAAAATCTACTTTAAATATGTCAAATTATTGTTTTTATAGTTTCTATGAGTTATGGTAGAATAATAATTGTCTTGTTCTTCGAATAAAACGATTAAATTAGATCCAAGGAATTAAAAGTTGAACACTTTCATTGAGCAATAGTTTGTAATGAAAAAAACTAAACCTCTTTTATAGTTTAATACACATTTATAACGAGGCTTTATCGACATAAGATCTGTAATCATATATTTGATTGCTTCATCCAAATATTGTCTTTCAGAGGAAGAATTTAAAGCCTCGAGAGATCGAACATCTATTATTGGAAGTATCGAAACATAGTACATGACACAATAACCGCGAGCTCAGAGAGAACCAATCTGATCTTCGCAGGAGATCCGTCTCCTTGATTTCCTTCGCTAAACAAAATACTAGTATATGTGTGTCTATCGTGGTCTATAGGAGAAGTCAAATATTATACTCTTATCTATAATATTCTTGTTAGATCATGTTTCCCAAAACGAATGCAGTCTAATTATGAACCGTGGTGTTAACAATATTCATTAGAAATGAATGTGATCATAAGTCACAATTATTTTTTTTTCCTTCCTGAAATCTTTTTTTTTCTATGAGTGGATATTCACGTAAACATATATACGTATTCTCATTTATGCACGAGTTAGTAATAGTGATTAACAAAATCTAAAAAGTCTAGATGCCCAAAAAAACAAAACTCCATCATTGATTAATCTTTGTATTCATCATGATCATAACGAACTCAAATTTTGATTTCACCTTTGGATTATATTTTCCTTTAGATTGTGATTGATATTTGAGATATCTTAATTAATCCTTTTTTTCTTTAGATAGATCTTGTGATTATTGAAATTTTCACATTAGAGTAGGATGTGGGTGTAAATATGGATCTTCTTTTATTGCATACTCACACCCACACCCTACTATACTTTGTTTCAAATAAATTTGGATTAAGTTATATACTTCAATTGCGTAAGCGATTTCTTATGTTGAACGAGGTAAGACTACTTCGAATTATTTGAAGAAATATTTTTTTCAAAAGATTTTTCCCTCAATCTTTTCAAAAAGCCGGTGTGGATTAGTCTATTTTGCTAATTTTGAAACTCTTTTTTTATGTGTTGGCTTGATTAAAAAACTATGAATATGGATGCAAAAGAGTTCAAAGTCTGCTTATGACAATATTTTAGCTTTGCCATATACAAGTTTAACTCTATTTTTGAAATCATCATCCAATTCGATATGTTGATTTGGTTGAAAATGAATTAATATTTCCTGCAATTGATTATATTGATACTGTTCTTGTCTTTCCATCGAATACAAATCATATATACTAGCGACTAATAGATCATAATCAATAACAAGACGATATAGATTCGGCAATAATTTAAATAAACGTTTAACATTAAGATGATCTTGGTTATTTACTATGATCAAAGTGTGAACAGTAGATAGTTTTGCATCTTTTTTCCAAGAATTAGTGTTATCACCATTATCAATGAGATGAAAACTAGAGCCAATTTCTAATATCTGAAGATTGATAAAGATAGATTTCAATACTTGAAAGAATCGATCTGTGTACACAGGTTCCTGTTTATCATTTAGAAATACTCGTTTTATGCGTGGCATTTTGAATTCTGCTTGTCGATTATTTAATCGATAATTTAAAAATTCATTTGTTAATGAACAGTTAAAATTTCGACAATCATATGGTGGTGAAACGATTGTATAGGTTTGATAAAATGAATTTGTAAAAAACATTACAGTTTGATCGTGTAACCAGATAGGTGTTTGAAATGATGATAATAAATCGTTCGCATCGACCGACGATTCATCAAGTGAATGACAAAAAAAATAAAAATAAAATTGTTTTAATGATCTTTTCCATGGTTCTAACATTCGTCCATCAATTATATAATCAATTTTAAATCGCAATTTTAATATTTCTAACGTTGATTGACATTGTCGAAGTAGAAGGTTCAAATCATAGAAATCAATATCATTTGCAGATATAATAAGTTGTCGTAATTTTAGTGAAAGAGTTTTTGTTTTTGAATAATTGTAATCGTATTTACCTGCTTTACCTTAAAAAATCAACAGAAAAAGCAGTTAAAAGTGAACTTGGTTTAAACAAAACTTGAGAGCAGAGATACAGAAAGATCATGCGCCCAAATCTTCAAGTCTATTACAAGGCAGGTAAGCAGTTTAAAGTAGATAAATCATGACAGGATATCAGACAGATCGTCTAATAGCCATATCCTTTCTAAATTTTTAATGGAAAACTTCATTTTTCAGTAGGAAATGCATTTATCATACTATAATTTAGAGAATCTTCATCTTTGAAAAATGAGAATTGTTTTTTTTTTGACTGAGCACAAACATGACTATGGATAATTGCAACTGCATCATTCATTGATGTATTAAGTCTATGCATTTAATGTAATAAGTCATCGTTCATACTTCTTAATTGGTTATTATCATGTTTTTGTGCAAATCGTGTACTGGGTCTTAACGTTCTTGATTTATACTTCTATTGCTGTAATATGATCGTATTCGAATTATCCCGTTCAAACAGCTTGTCAAATATATTCAAAAGGATTTTATTGAAGAGCATAGTGTTTTCTAAACGTCAATCTTATCTTTTCTATCTTTACTCAACAACAACATATTGTATTAAATCACTATATCTACGCAGACTTATGCAAGTGAACTAAATCCTTGAAGAAGCACTTGTAAATAACTCTCAGATACTTCTAAAAGCCTTCGCAAGGAAATTAGACACCTCGTTGGTGTTTGCAAACAATCATCAACTAGTAATTTCTCAATTGAGAAAGATCTTTCCATAGAGAATCAAAAGAAACCTCTTGTAAAAGTCATCGTTTTATTTCTTTGCTAAAATTGGAGTGAAACGGTGCATATTTTTTTTGCAGATGTAACTTAACGCTTTCACTGCAAAATATTTTCTTTAAATTAAGAATTGTATTTTGATTATTTTTTGTTTGAAAAAAATGTTTTTTTTTTATAACAAGTGAAGTAAAGAAAAAATGTTTCATAAGAAACGACACAAAAATTTCGTTAATTTACCTTCTCTGATGCCGATACTCAAGTATTCCAATTGGGGTAGATATTCTAATAAAATAAACAAATGATGTTGATATTCAACAGATAATGTTAAACGCTTCAATGTTTGACATATTTGAAAGTATTCACTATCAATTGATAAACATACACCATCAATAGTTAAGGTACTAAGTACCGTTGACGAATCATTAACAATAAATTCAGCTAAAATTTCATGGTCAATTTTAGAAAATAGTGTGGCATTTTGGTAATCCAATACTAACGAAGATATGGTTTTTTTAAATATCGGTAAATATTGTTTGTAATGCTCATTCTGTAAGAGAATCCTTAATTGTATTTTTTGAAGTTGCGTAAAATAAGTTGGAACACTATCAGGAGTGTCAAAGATCCAATCGAGTTGTGTATCGTTCATTTTTAATGTTTTAATTAACGAAGGAATCAATTGGAAATTTGGTGAGTTCCATAGTTGTACGTTGTTAGTCGTTGACAAATTTAATCGTTCGATATATGGAAGACATAAAGTGTAAAACCTTATATTTAGATTTAAAAAACTGCAAATAATTTCATCCGAATGAAGATAAGAGAAAACATGATGTAGTAATTCATTCGGTAAGAGTTCTAAAGTGAACATCGGTACGCTTAGTTTTGAATCTAAAAGCAAAACATATAATGATTAGTGCATAATATCAAAAGAACATAGCATATTGTTCTATGTGGTCACTAATGAACAACATATCCTTTATAAAGTAAAATTTAGTATAATAATCATAGAGAAAAATGTCGGATTAGTGACGAAATCTTTTAAATAGCAAACGATAAAAACATATTCTATTGAAATTCTAAAACTCTTCTGTGAGTGTTTCATCGTCAGTCCTACAGTACAATTTATTTTCAGTTGTTACTAATACAATTTACAAGTTGATAGTTAAGTACTTTTCGAGAGTTTCAACGCTATTATTCTTAGCCTATCAGATATGACAGGCTTTTTGGTACAAAACGATTTGGTTTCTCGCTATTATTCAAAGAGCATATCTGTTCAAATAAGGTAGGACAACAACAAATTTTTTCTGTCTTTGTCAGCATCATCAAAGTTGTCTCATGTTATGATAACAGTGAACTAAAGTGCTCTGCGAAGTACGCAACACATTTGTTATATGCATTGTCAAGGATCATTGCTCATTAAGTATAATTATATAAAAGAAAAGAAATGCTATTTATATAGCTGAATCGATTGTTTTGTACTAATCTAAAGTGTATCGCATCTAATCGGTGTATATGTTTTGAGTAAATGTTGGATCGCATCTATTCTTGGACTTCTTTTTCAAAATTTATAAACGAATATAACGCTGTGAGAAGAACCGAAATAAAAATAGCATGGAATAAGCATAATATAACTTACACGTATGTACTGAAACAAATGAAAGAGAAGAAAAATTATTCATCACAGAAATAACGCAGTTTCTTCTTTCTGTCGCACGGTTGTGTAGCTGAATAACAATGTTCTTTTTCTTCCTTCTTCAACCATGTCTCGCTGCCGATATTAAGAATCATACTATAGTATCTATACCACGCAGTCGTCATATTACGAACAAAAATAAGATAGAGAAAGAACTTGTTTTTTTTTCCAGAAAACATTGCATCTTTCTTATTTCTAGTTGGAATGACAAAATATTTTTATATTAACAAGTTATATAACAACAAAAGATTTCTCATAATAATGGTGAATTAACTATAATCCTTTACAAATTCTCATACCTAAATTCAATGACAAAGAACATTAGAGTTTATTAATTTCTGCTAATGGGATGAAAATTTATTAGAAATTCATTCTTTTATCTCGAAATTAAGCAGTATTGACACCGAAAAAAGTTGTTAAGTACATTTCCAATATAATCGTATATTAAGTAGATGATGCGAGTAGAGCATTATTTTTCATCCATACATACTCTCACCCTTACCAACACCTACGTGCTCAATTGAATAAACATTTTTTGTTAAATGGATAACTAAATGACGTATTTAACGTTGAGGTTGTTAATTGACTTTCTTTATCTTTTTTGTCAAGATTGATGATGAAACTAAAATACTTGATAATGATAAAAAGGAAGAAAAAAGATGCGAATATGAAGCAATTGAATATTTTTTTTTATTATTCAATTTAATTTACAAATACATCATTAGTTTTATCAATTAGTGATTTATTACATAACTGATTGAAGAATAATTGAATTTTGACTTCAAAAAATCAACTGACTAATTTGAACTGCACGATATTTTCGATGACAGTTATGTCATAACACAAAAAAAAAGTAGATTTGATTTCTATATTATCATTCTGTTGTATAGAATTGTAGGAAACGTAGCAAACTTCATGCCAAATACAAATCATTCATTTAATCGCATCGAAAACAATGAATATGTAGATAAAAATTTACATAACTATTAACTTGCTGCTGAATATTCATCGTTCTACTTCGATCTGTCTATAAACATAACTTTTCTCATAGTATATTTCAGAATCAATTGCAGTATTTATCAACCTATGAATCGCCTCTATCACGTAGAGCGAAATTATGCGAAAACCAAGTATACCTTAAAAATAATAGTTAGTTATAGAACTGTTAGATAATCAATTGTCAGGACATTTAAATGATTTTTCTGATTAGTAACCAGTGTAACACACATGCTATGTGAAGTTGTGCGTTTGAAGCAGTTTTCTATTTAGTGGTAAATATTTGTGCAAGTTTCTAATAAATCATCCAGAAGAAATGAGTAACATATAGTCCAAAATCTGAATTTATAGTTTTCTTCGAAACTTACAGCGTCAAAAAAAAGGTACGAACATAAATGAGCGAGAATTAAGGTCAACAAACTAAAAATTTAGACGTGAAGGTTTTAGACATAGCAACTCTATAAAGAATATCTCTAGCCAAAAGTAAGCTTTGACGTGTGGATTTTCATCATGAAAATATTCAATCTATTCGTGAGACGCTTCCTACGATAGTTTCACCTAGGGATGTCACATTTAGGCTAAGTCAGCACTAATTACTAAATAACTAACTACTAAATTTTGAAAAATCAACCTAAGATATATCAAAGCAATGGTTGTGTTGAGTCGATTCAAAGTCTAAAATGCACGGTGATTTCAAAGCTTTGTAATTCAGATATTACAGTACTGCTGCTTTTTTTAACAGATAGTTGTCCACTCCTCAGATAACGCTGCGAAACAGATTTTGAGTCGTAACCTGATGTTTTGCACGAAAAAGTTTTTCATGTTACTTCACTATGATACAAGTTTCACTGGTGTAGTAATTTCTATTGTGTAATATCAATATCTAAAGAATGATGGTCTAGTCAAAGACTTGGGGCATATCAAAAGTACTGTGATTAATATCAAATCACATGGTGGGAAACTCGAAAAAACTTCTCCCATGGGCGTGTGGCGTTAGATGTGCACTATATTTCCTCAACAAACCATTAATCTTCAGTTGAAATTATTATGAAAAAAATCTTTACAAAATTTTCTCTCAGATTTCATGTGAAGAATAAAAATGTTTGTTTCTCTATTAAAATAAGCGAAATATTTCATACTGAACTGAAAACTATAAAGAATGAATTGTCTTTTGCTTTCCACTTTGATTCTCTATTTCTCGCTAAAATAGCGAAATGCTTAATATATTTTGATGAAGTTCTAAACAAAATCGAGAATAAAGCTACTTGTAAAACCTGAAATAAAAACAACATTCGAGAGTATTCAAGATGTTCTTTCTATGAGTAGTTGTAATTCTTGTATAAACTTTGATGCAGTGCAACTTTTAAATGGTCTGAATTATAATGTTATCAAGAGAATGTTTCATAGCCATCTGCATCTTAGAAAGGTTATTGGTCGTTAGGTATCAACTGAGACAAACAGATATTTCAACTACAGAACCAGTGAGAGATGACTAAGTTCCTTGAAAATGAATTTCAGTGTGAATTCTGGAAATCACGAATACTGTGAGATTGTTGAGAACGAACAAGTCAAGAAAGTCTGTGAATTTTGAAAAGTCGTGAAAGAAAGGAACGTAAAATAGATCATGGCAACCTTAAATTTTGATAATTTGTGTTCGTCTAGTTTAAGTATTCTGTTGATAGTGGTATCTCTCAAGGGGCTTACTTAGGCATCTCCTTGATTAGAGTGAATATCCCCAAGCATTTTCATCAAGAGCCGTGTTCGATGAATGTTGCTATTCACGAGATAGCAGTATGACAGGCACTGGCTATAACCCAAGTTGGTTTCCGACTAGTTTTGAATACTCGATCGATGGTTCTTCACTGTGCATTGTCTGTACAATAAAAGACCGATTACCCTCAATATGTAAATGTTATGTTAAAAGCGTCCTTGAAACATAATGTCCAGGTTTTATTCATTTCATCACGAGATATTGACCATAAAAAAAAGAACATCGTAGTCTATAGCTTAGACATAAAGGCACAAAGGATATTTTCTTGTTTAAACTTCAACGATGAATCTAAATCATGGAACAAATGTGACGCACTGGCGAAATATCACAGATATTCCTCCCAACAACAGAATTATGAAATAGGGTTAATACACTTAGAAAGGGGATCGCATTCAAAAAGTCTAATTTCCATACATTCTGTACCGTTACATCCTTAAAATATCACTGTATATCACCACGCAGCTCCCCACTCCTGCATAATCATATCGGATGTGCGGTTATCGATGTGAGTGTCGGTGTGAACGTTTTCTTTTGGTACAAAACCACATTAACAGTCACACCTGTCACACACAGATCCATACTCACACTGCCCACAATCTTTTATATTTAAATTCCTAGCTTACTCTTTTTATTATAATGAAAACTTCTGATGAGTGTTTTAATATTTTAGTAAGTAACACGATACGTGTTGGCAAAAATAACTCGGCATTTTTTTCATTAAGTCTAATTCAAGTATATTTGCTGAATATTTTCTTGTTATTTCATTTTCGACAGGAAATCGATTGTTGAAAAGGAAGAATTGAGAACAGCAGATTGATTTGTATGATAGACATATCAGTCGTTCTGTTCTTTATTGATTTAGGCATATCCACATCGCAGCTCTTAGATGTCTCTGTTCTGTGACCGAAAGTAGTCAACAATGCTTATCACACTTCAATATAGACATTCGTGTTTTTTATTTATCTTTTTCTCTCTGTAACTAGAGTGTTCTACTAGAAGAAAACGAAACAGTACTCTTTGCTTTTTTTTCTTATGACAAGATAAAAAGCAAAAGGTGTTATCATAGGAACACTTACTTTTTACGATATCGATTGCAACACAACAACCAACAGCTATGTAAGTTGCACTAGATTTGTTGATGCAATTTTTTGAGAAGCATCTTATTAGGATAGAATATTACTGCGAAGAT